GCTGGCAGGAGCTGTAGGAACCATGACTTGTGGGAAATGGATGTACAGGGCGGGGGAGAGGGGCTGATGGGAAAGAAGGGTTTTCAGAAAGAGTTGTGGCACAGACCTGGGTTAGTGGGGTGTTGACTTCCTGTCTCCATAACGGGGAATTCTCTGACAGGAGAGGGACCCTCTTCGCTTTGGAAGATGCCCTCCTGCTTCTATGCAGACAGGGATGAGGCCAGCAGAGATTCCTCTGGGCTGGCTGCTTCTCTCAGCTCCACATAGCCCTTAAAGGAGCCTTTGGGGTGACCTCCACCCATCCTGTTCATGCACTGTGCTCTCCTGTGTGGCTATCCTCCTGATGTCCCCATATGAGAAGGCTCCCTTTGTGACAGAAATCTGTTACACACAATGACCAAGGCACCCTTCTCACAAGTGCTACCCCAAGGAATGGCCTGAGCTGGTCGACTCGTTGGATGGACAGACAGACAGACAGATGGAGGAGACCTTGAAGAGGGAGCAGAGCAGTGGTCTGCACAGCCCAGCTGACCTGTGGTGCATCCCTGCAATGGAAAGAGAAGCAGACGGGGTCTGGATAGCTGGACGGCTGGGATTTGTGGGACCCACTCTGCTCCCCCGAGCTCAAGGCTTCCTGCCTGGGCTGCTTTCCTCATGGGGCTCTGTGGTTTGTTTTCTATAGGAAGCTGCCCAGTCTCTGAGGTCCAGGTCTGTACTCCACTCTAGGGTGAGAGATTCACTTTTTACCCTACCTGTGCCCCCACCAGCCCAACATACACCCAGGATTTGTGTTCACATGGGTTTAGGAAATGACCCCATTGGTACAACCAAAAACTAAAGTGCTCCCTCAACCAGTCACAGCTGGATTCACCTTCTTGGGTTTTTTTCCTGGTTTGTTGATGCTGACCCTTCTGGTGACCAGGAAAGCTGGGACTATCTTAGATGGAGCCCCCACATCCAGCCACCAGGCCTATTTTCAGCTGGTTTTATAGCTTTAAAAAGTCTTAAAATGAGCGGGGTGTGGTGGTGCACATCTGTGATCCTAGCACTCAGGAAGCTGAGGCAGGACAGTCATCATGAATTCCAGGGCAGCCTACACTCCATAGCGAGACCCTGTCTCAAATGAAAAAATCTTACAGTGGACAAAACCTTCCATACCCGCTACTGCCAGCCTTGCCCATGTTCACCTGCTTTAGCAGCCCACCCAATGGCCCTGTCATGGGTAGGTGGGTCTTGTTGAGTCTGGCCTGCCTGGGGACAGAGCAGGAAGGGGAGGGCGTGGAAAGACACCCTTTCTGGGTCAGGGTACACCATGGCATAGCCTGGGGCTGTGGACACTCCTAGGTGCATGTCACCCTCACCCTGTGCTCACTGTGGTTGTGACACAGAGTGGCATTGCTCTAGCACACCTGAGGCCGAGCCAGTGGCTCTGGAGCCCAGGGCCACCTGTGCAGACACAGGGATCCTGGGTTCTGGGGTACCTCTAGCTGGTCCCATCTCCCAGCGTGGAGCCTCCGGGCTTCAGCCATGTGCATGAGCCCCACTCCCTGGCCCTGCCTTGTCTGCCCAGCACCAGGGCTTTTCTCTGACTTCCTCCCTGCCCCTCGAGGCGTCCCCTGGACTGGGATGTGGATGGTGCTGAGACTGTGTGCTCCCCAGGATTGTCAGTGCCCACTGCACCTCAGCCATCTCCTGCCATAGATTCGATGCCCCACCATGGGGAGTATTCTGCAAAATGCATCCATGCTGAACGTACACTGACTTCTCTTCGCTGCTTCCTAAGCGAGGCTTCGGGACAGTTTCCAACGCAACAGGAGACCTGCTTCAGTGCCGCATGTTGCCAGTGCATCTGAGTTATCTGGGAGGCCTGTGGGGTTCTGTGATAACACTGCGATGTTTTACACAGAGAACTTGGTGTCTGTGGGTTTTGATGTTTGCAAGGGGCCTGAGGCAGTTGCCCATGGATACTGACAGGTGTGTGTGTGTGTGTGTGTGTGTGTGTGTGTGTGTGAGTGTGTGAGTGTGTATGTAGTGAAAGGCCTTTTGTCAGAGCACACCTCACACCATATGGAAGCCAATGATCCTGCAGGGTGAGCCAGCCAGCTGGGCCCAGCAGGCCGGTGGTGCCCTTGTGGCCCAAGTCTGAACACTGAGACCCAGGAGAGAGGGCAGTGCAGCTCCAGCTGGAGGTGCCACACCTCTAGATCCCAGAAAAGCTGAGCTTCTGTTTGAGCTGAGGCAGGGAAGCGGCCGCAGACCAGTGGGAAGGTGGGTGGACAGAAGGGGTCCCTTCCCACTCGGATTGGGAGGTTACCATGCTTCTGGTTTCACCAGGGCAGGATGGGCAACCAGATCCCCTCGGATGGACCAGGGCAAGGTCTGGCCAGCCATCTGGGCTTCCCATCACGCAGTCCAGCAGACTGAGGCTGGCGAGCCTCCATGGCCCCGGCTGGGGCAGTGGGCTTTGCTGGCCTCCAGCACTTTCCGTGCACTGTGCGTCATGTTTCAGCATCCTCATCGTTGTCCAGCATCCACGTCAGTAGCGCCGAGAACCCTCACCCCCAAGCTGTGTGTGCAGCCCGCTTTCAGCCCCTCCAGGCCCAGGGATGCCCACCTCACCAACTCCCCCCGAATCCTGGGCTCTCCGAAGTGCCCCTCCATGCCTGGCTGGATGTGCTCAGCATCGGGTCCCCTGGTTTCACCCATGTTGTAAGCCATGGCAGAGCCTTCCTGCGGTTGCATGCAGGCCCATCAGGAGCCTGTCCTTCCACCTCGGGCGTGTGGGTTGTGTCTACCTTAAAGCCCGTGTCATGAGAATCCCCCAAGACCTGCTCGCAGTCCTTTCAGATCTGCTCCCGGAGGTGGGAGATTTTCCCACCTGAACCCCAATTTGACCTCACCCCAAGTTCATTTGCCTGGGCCACCTCTGTCCCCCAGTCACACACCTCATGCTGCAGGAGGACATGCTGGGGGTCAGCAACCTTGGTGGCATTGCGAGGACTGGGCAAATAACCAGTTCCTTCTCTCAAGCTGCCCATCACCTGCTCAACACAAGCACTCAGAGGGAGTCAGCTGAGCCCCAAATGCCGAGGTGGCCCCACACTCCAGGATTCTGCGTGTGTCCCCAAAATGTGTTTTAACTGAAGCCAGGAACAAGGATCACAGCTTAATTATACTGCACCTACATGTGGCCCTCGGTTCAACGCCAGGCAACAGAAAGTGACTCTCAACGCAGACAGTGAGGATCATCAATCACACTGTCCCTACATTTAAAATTATCTTTCCTGCAGTTTTTAAAACAAAATCAAAGATAACACTAGGGGGGCTGGGGATTTAGCTCAGTGGCATAAGCGCCTGCCTTGTAAAGCAGGCAGTCGTGAGTTCGATCCCCGGTACCGATAAAAAGGAAAAAGACAAAAAAAAAAAAAAAAAAAAAAAAAAAGATAACACTAGGAAATTACACAGTGTGCTTCGATTTTGGCCACATTTTAGGATACGGCATGGAGCCCTGCCTTAATTTTAGTGTCCAATTTTTAGCAAGGTTAGAATGACTGAAACTAAATCTCTGAAGTCTGACAGAGAGAGCAGTCCTGGGGTTTGTAGTTCTTCTGCATTGGTTCCTGTTCCTGAGCTTTCATCCTTTAAATTTCACATGGCTTCAGTCAATTGGCCACCCGTTTGGGGCTAGGTTGGCGGAGGCTCTGTGCTTACTGAGGGCTGTGAGGCTCTCACATGCCTTCTCTGCGGGGCCTGGCGTCTCTCCTGAGGCTGGTGTCACACCCGCCAGTGGCTTTTCTAGAACAGGCAGCAGGCCCCTTGGTGTTCACAGTTGGGGCCCTGGGCCCCTGAGCCCCTGGGCCAGGCTGATGGGTGCCCCTCCCCTCGCCCCACACATGACACCCCGTTTCTGTCACCTCTGTCACCTCTGCCCCATGAGGTGTACGCCCTTCACCTCCCAGAGCACTTCTGCCAAATCAAGAAGCTTCCTGGAGCCAGTGGTGGCTAAAGTCAGACTAGAGACTGCTCCCAGTGACATGGTGACATGCTGTCCCCAGCCGCCATCTGCTCCCACAAGGACTGCACTGTCCCCAGGCCCCAGAGCACGGCTCTGTGTCCAAGGCTTATCCCTGTAGCCACTCTCCCCCTCCCGCTCTCCCCTCCTGGGCCTGTCCTGCCACAGCCGCCCTGAGCATCCAGGCTCCTGGTGGTAGACTCTGCCCCACCCTCTCAGCTGTCAAAAAGAAGGGGAAAAAAAGGAAGGAAGGAAAGAAGGAAGGAAGGAAGGAAGGAAGGAAGGAAGGAAGGAAGGAAGAAAGGAAGGAAGAAAGAAAGAAAGAAAGAAAGAAAGAAAGAAAGAAAGAAAGAGGGAAAAAGTAACAGAGAAAGAAAGGGGTGAGGGCAGCCCTGAGTTAGAGCCCCAACGTGCATGTGTGCGCGTGCGCGCACGCACACACACACACACACACACACACACACACACACGTGTGGACACTCCTCCCATGTGGGCTGTGGGCAGAGTGTGTGGGGCCACAGGCAGCGTACAGGAAGGCCTGCCCGACTGTCTCCCGCTCGGGATCTCAGTCTTTGCTTCCCTGTCCAGGTATTTTCCGAGCACATTCTTAGATAAAGGAAATCTCTCAAGCGTTCTCTCCATCTGCCTGTAGCATTACCTGGAGACCCAGGGGACCAACAGCCACAAGGCACACAGGGCAAGAGACCGCGAACCAGGGTGAGTCACCAAGCAGTCACCAGCTCAGCCCGATTGCTCACCTTCAGGCCCAGTGCAAACTGTGGTGAGGAGGCCAAGGAGGAAGAAGAAAAAGAAAGAAAAAGCCAACCCTGCCAGTGATTGCCCCAGGCCTCTCTGGCCTTCCGGGAGGCAGTGAGTAATCTGCCATGGAGGCCAGTCATCACTTGACACCTCCCCCACAGAGAAGATTTCAGAAGTATTATGCACTTGTGATGGCCAAGGAATTTCCCCTCCTTTTATGTTTTGGCAGATAGTTCTGCCTGGAGATGCCGAAGGTGGGACATGTTATGAAACCCTAGTCATCAGCTGTCAACCACGCTGCGGGGAAGTGGGGAGAGGCCCTGGGAGGGCCCACAGCCTGCTTTCATCACCTGCAGACCTACAGCAAGGCACAGTTCTGCACAGGAAATGGGCCTAAAAATGACTCCAGGGAAAGTTGCATCCTTTGTCCTACAAGAGAGGTAAAGACACGAAGGAGAGGAGACTCACCTGCACCCACATGCACTGTGCCCTCTAAAGCCTGGTCTTAAGTGTACCCCCAAAGCCCCTGTGTTACAAGCCTGGTCTCAGTCTGATGCTGTGGGAAGAGGTGAAACCTTAAGGGGCGGGGCCTCATGAGAGGGCTTTAGGTCGTTGGCCCTGAAAGGAATCGTGGGAGCCATTCCCACTCAGGAGGTCAGTGGCTCTGTTCTGTGGTGTTGTAAAGAGCTTTTTCGCCTGGGCTTGCAATAACGTGGCCAAGTAGTCCTGGCTGGAGCCTCCAGAGCTGAGCTAGAATGCACCAGCAGGTCATCTCCAGCATTCCTGAGAGTGACAGGAAGTAGACATAGCTCCACTGGAGTTCTGGGTCCTTTGCTCCAGCCCCTGGGTCCTACCTGGCCACAGGGGCTCTCGGCTGACGACTGGTCATAGCAGGAGTGCAGAAGTACTTCAGTGATGGTGGAAAATGAGGGTTTAGTGTCACAACCCTGGATGCACAAAGTCAGAGTTCAGTGCTCCTGGAATTAACGTCCCAAGGATGGTGGGGCCGGGAACTCTCCTGGGCTGGGGATGCTGAGAAGCACTGGAGGCCACAGGGAGAAGTGTTTTTACAGGCTGCAGAGATGCTACTAAAGTTCCTGCAGGAGGGACTTGGCCAGTTTGCCCAGACCAGGGCAGCCTCACTGTCCTTACCCAGGAATGGATGTTAGAAATTGAAGGATGGCAGAGCTGCCCCCAACAGCAAGCAGAGAAGTGAGGACTGTACCAGAAGAGAGCAACTCAGAAACGGAAGGATCTCAGAACACGCGCAAGTTTGATGAGTCAATAAAAAAAAACCACACAAATAAGAAGCCCTTTCCAGGACCCACAGCGGACACAGCTTTCTTCTGGGAGTCCAGCCCCATGCAGGCCCGAGAAGAGCTGTGGTGTCAATCACTCTGTCTGGGGTGCTGTGGGGTCCATGCAGAACCCATCTTGAGGGAAGCAGTGCCCAGGGGAAGCTGCAGTCCAAGGTACCCCTGAAGCTCTGACCCCTGGGAAACGCGGAATTAGCTGGAATCAGCAAGCTGGCTGTGATTTTGGTCCGAGGTGGACAAGCTCTGGGGCTTTCAACTCTGACTCTTGGCGTTCATTAAATCAGTTGTGGACAGGAGCGTGAGGAAACGTGTGTGTGTGTGTGTGTGTGTGTGTGTGTGTGTGTGTGTGTGAACTTCGTGGGTCAGGAAAGAGCTGGGCATTTTTCCTCCCACCCAGAGCGTGGCAGAGGCTGAGGGGCAAGGTGGAAGGAGAGGCCTGCTGAGCCCTGCACAAGTTTTGGGGCAGCAGGGGAAAGAAGCCGAGACCCAGTAAGATCTTGAAGAGGCTCCTCTGGTGGCTGGGGGAGGCCTCAAGGGCCTCACACAGCTCAGGGTACACAGGTGGGCACCCGGCTGGTGGAATCGCTCTGCAGATGATTCCAGAAAGGTTAGGCAAACAGTTTTTTAAGAAGAGGGAGCCCAGACTGCTGGCCCTGCCCCAGGGGCACCTGGGGGGTGGCCAAAGCTCACAGCAGTGCAGTGGAGTTCGAGCCCCCCCCCCTACCTCTGTGGGCTTGGCTGCTTACTCACTTACTCACCTTCCAACCGCCTGAGCACTAAGGGCAATTAGCTCTGGATCAGGGTGGGGTGCACCGGGCTGAGTGCTGCTTCCTGCCTGCCTGTTGGAGAATCTGCTGGGGGACAGGGGCCTGGGGACATCCTCTTTCTTAAAGGGGACAAAGTGCTCTCGACTTCTCTGCACAGCCAAGCAGAGGCCCCATCTGGTTTCGGTTCCTTTCTTCCCTGGCCGATGAAGTGGTTCTGATTCCAGAATGGGGACCTTCAGGTAGGCAGGCTGAGCCCCGCCCTCTTGGACCCCAACACAGAAGTAGCCTGGAGTGCACTGCAGAGGTGAAGGAAGTGAGATTCCAGCAACTGGCTGCTCAGCCCAGGCCACAGCTTCTCAGTCGGCTTCCACCCATGCAGGCCACTTGGGAAGAGGACAGAAACACAGAACTGCAGCTGGGATTTTGCATTCTGGGACCAGGTCTGCATTCGGTCCATCAGACTCGGGAAATCAGCCTTCCTCTGGGCTCCTGGCCAACTACCAAGGCCTCAGTTGGAAGCCCCAGGATATTTACTCAGTCACTGCAAACATCCCACAGCCTCCAAAAGTGCCCCCGGTTTTTTTGTGTGTGGAGCTGGGAGCTGAACTTAGGGTCTTCACACTAAGCTACATTCACAGCCCTTTTATTATATTTCTTTTATTCTGAGACATGGTCTTGCTAGGTTGCTGAGTTGCCCAAGCTGGATTGGACTTTGGGATTCTCCTGCCTCAGTGTCCTGGACAGCTGCGATTACAGGCATTTCTGACGGTGTCTGGGCCTACACCAGGCTTTCAGAACTTGGCTACCACCTGGGAGAGTCCTCCTGTCCCTCCTGAGCCCCAGCTCTGTGGCCCTAAGGTGGCCTTTGTGTGTGTGTGTGTGTGTGTGTGTGTGAGAGAGAGGGGGGGGGGGACAGAGATCAATGGAGGAGTTGCTGAAGCACTGGAAGAGACAAAAGAAAAAATCTCTGCTGACCTGTCCATGCTACCCCCTAGGAAAATGTTTCTCAATTTTCCCCTCCTCCAAACCAACCTTTTACCCAGAGCTGAGGGTTCAAGACTGTCTGGGGATGACTTTTATCTTCAAAACAGGATCTAATGGACTTCTTTCCTATCTTAGATTCATGTCTCCTTTCCCCTTGGATCACAGCAAACATTTGCTGAGGACCCAGTGTGTCCCCAGGGCAATGCCACTGGGGCGAAATGCTTCACATGCACCAGCTCTGGAGATCTTCAAATCAAGCTGAGGCCTGGGGCCATTTTACAAACAAACAAACTGAGGGCTGGGAGGTTTGGGGTGACCTGAGGTCACAGAGCCAGCCAGTGGCAGGACAGGCACTGAGATCCAGGCCTGACTGGTGATCAAGCAGTCTTCCACAATGCTCCCCCTGCTCTGCTGCCAAACAAAAGGAAAGGCTCCTGGGCTCTCCTGCCGCGGGGCTTGCTGTGCACTGGACATCAGCATTCCTCAGCACATGCTTTGTGCCGTCCACCACAGGCGATCCTGGCATCTCACGGGGTACAGGACAGAACTTTTCAAGCACACTCTCTCAGGCGGACTCATCAAAACCCACCCTTTGATTGTTCATGCGAGCAGGTTTCTTTGCATCTTGTCTTCGGTGTCTAGCAAACTTACTATAACTTTCTATTTATCACAACCTAATGAATTAGTCTTCAAGGAATATGTGCTATGTTTATTTAAATATTGTTATTTTTGGAGTGGGGAATACCTGCACAGAGCATACATGCGCGCACACATAGAGGCACCCTGTGGGTACGAGACACCTCCCTCCCTTCCCGCGCTCCTGGCCACCCAGCTCCTCACAGAGGCAAGGACTGCTGTGCGCGTCTCCTCCTTCCTCTCTCTGTTGTAGGACCCACTCTGTGACTCGATGAGTACCCCCTCAGAAAACAGAGCTACTTCCTCCTCTCCAGCACCTTCACACCCTGTCCTCCAAGTCTACTGTGGCCCAGGGTTCTGCTGTTACAAACAGTTCCACAGGGAGATGGATCACTGTGCACAGGAACAGCCAGCTCCGCAGGAAAGCTCCTGGGGGAAATGCTAAGGGTGGCACCAGGGTGTGCATTTGTGACTTAAAACTTTTCTCATCTCTCAAGCACTGCAGGAGAAAGAGCGTTTAAGGATCCCAATAGCGGTCCTCAGTCAGCTCTGATGATACTGCCCTGTATGCCCATGGCCCCTACCCCAGAGTTTGTTCTGAATCAGCCCCAGATACTGTTACTAGTAAACACCAAGGCACTATTCCTGAAAAGCAAAAGCTTGAAATGAGAAAAGAAACATGTGCATGACTTTACTGACAATGCCTAACAAAATCATTTATCATGCCATCAAATCTCCTGCCAATGTCATGTTTTCCAGTTTGTCTCCTAGATGTCTATCTGTAAGCAGTTTGTCTGTTGATCAAAAACCAAGTGAGACCCATGCATTGTGGTTACTTCTACTTCTTTCTTCAATCTGGGGCGTCCTGCCCTATTTCTGTTTCTCCTCTCTTTCTCTCTGCAGTGTTGCTAGTGAAACTGGGAAAGTTTGTTTCCTGACACTGGACTTTGCCAGCAGTCACGTAAAACATTACTAAGGTTAAAGGAAAACACACATTGGAAGGCAGGACTCCTTGGTAATAGAGACAGCACAGTGTGCCAGAGTCCCCATGACACAGGCAACGGCACAGTGACTAGAAGGAAAACCGTAACACCAACTGTGTTAATAAAAAGTATATGAATTGAGCGCACAATTCTGGACCAAAGAAAGACAAAAGGAACCCGAGAGAGGGTATGAACAGCACCAGCATTTCACCATTCTGTAAGCCTGTTTCTAAATCTGAAGCTTAGGGCTCCCTGTGGAGAGTTCAGCCTACAGTATGCAGCCACACCCACAGAGCATGTGCAGAGTGGGGCATGGGACCCCGCTCTGCTCTGCATGGGTAGCTCTGAGTTGCTAGGTCCTGCACTACCCTGGGCCAGGATTCAGGGGGAGCTGGATCCTTGCATCCTCAGCACAGGAGCCAGAAGGTGGGTTGGGACTAGGGGACCCCCCCACTTCCGAGCTGGCTCTAGGCTCTCCTCTGCAGCAAGGCTAGTGATTTGATGGGTGTGGGATTTCTGGTCCTGTAAGGTCCTTGCTGGCCTTGTTCTGGGGCCACTGATGCACAGCTCAGCTGCTGTGTGGCCACTCTGCTGCCCAGGACAAATCTGACTGCACTTTCTTCACCATAAACGGGGTGGTAATCTGTCCAGTCAGGGGTGAGGTTTGCAGTAGACTAGGCCCAGCACCCCCAGTACAAAGTAGCTGACGTGCTGACACTTTCACACAGGTCGGGGGATGGCTGGAAGCCGGCCG